AGATAATAAATTTAGAATAAGGTACGGGAAAGGGAGAAGGAGGAGGAGAACAGAGCCCCACGAGGTAGAGTGTGAACACCACAAAAGCCAGAACCAGAGAGAGCGAGGGAAAGCCCAGCCACCGAGCTCTCTTCAGCTGCAGCCGGGAAGATACCTAGCTGATCCTACAGCCATAAACATTACAAGTCTTCACCGACATTCACTACTAGTTTAATAGTGTTAAGAATAGCTGAAAACTAGTTCAATATTATATTTATTAGTCAACAAGCCCAGAGTCTGAATAATCTGTGAGTAACAAGGTCTGGCAAGGAAGACTGAGACAAATACGCATCAGGTATGAGAAGCCTTGAATATAAACGTTATTGTTATTTAATTATCCCTCTTACACAACTATTTGGAACTCAATTTGACCTCTGGTTTCCAAATAGGAATCCAGGGTCGTAACAGTGGGGAAGAATAGAGAAAGTAGTGAGGGGTAGGTAAGGTGGTCAAGTAGAGGAAAGGTAGTGAGGGGTAAGGAAGGTGGAGAAGGAGAGGGATGGTAATGAGGGGTAGGGAAGGTGATGAAGGAGAGGGAAGGTAGTTTGGGGTAGGGATGGTTGGGAATGAGAGGGAAGGTGGTAAAAGAGAAGGAAGGTAATCAAGGGTAGAGAAGGTGGTGAAGGAGATGGAACATGATGAAAGAGACCAGAGGTGGTAAAGTAGATGGTTCTGGAAGAGATAGAAGATAATGGGCGGCAAAGAAGGTAGTAAAAGTTTGGGAATGTGATGAATGATGGAACGATTATGCACATGCAACAACGTAATCAGATTTTTTTGTATAGGCAACCAAGCTTTTTATTAATAATTTTATTCCCAATTTATAATTATCACTTTCATTTCCAAGGTTAGCTATCTAGAAAGAACTCACATTCTTAAGTTTTAATACGAACCTGTTAAGATTTAGTTCCTAGTTTAGTTACAATTAATAGTATAAAAGTTAATTTTTCTTCTGTGTTGATACACTGAGAGGAGAATAACCCATGAGCACCACACCAGAAATAAATACAGTTTTGATATTCCAAGATTACGACTTAATCAAACCAGAAATGCTCTACAAATCAAGGGACCCAGAATGTGGAATGACCTTCCCAACCATGTTAAAGACTGTCCCTCTCACAACCAGTTTAAGATAACCTTGAAGTAAAAAACCTTGATAACCTTGAATAAAAACGAAGCTCAACCTAATAATTTCCCTGTAACCTACTGTGACGGTGTTCCCCCCCTTATATTTCTCCCATCCCTGCTGTAAGAGTCATATCCACTTTTCCCAAGCATTCTCTACGTTGCGGGCCACAATTTGATATATGTGGGAGCGTGTAGTGTTCTCGCGTTGGCGAAAAATTCTTAAAATAAAAGTATTTTGGCCTGTGGTTTAGGCCCTTTAGGGTGCAAATATGGCGCTGGCCGCTCCGTTTTGCCGCCAAAACTGTGTGACGTCAGTGACACCCGATTAGTCACTGACAGTGACGTGGCACAGGGGGCCAATGAAAACCGCCCCTGGCAAGTTTGACATCACGAAGGCAGGGGGGTCCGGAGATCGCGCCACTTTGGCGCCACTAGTCTGAGACAGCACGCCTAGGAGGTCGAACGTGCGCTGGGGGATCCTGTCAGTTTGACAGTTTACCCCATCTCCAGAGGATTTACGCATCACCGGCGGTCTGCCAGCACTTGTGGGGTCTTCCTTCGTTCATGTGTTGGACCAGAGGGGGAATTAACGGAATATCCAGCAACAAGTGCTCCAGGGACAGGTGTTATGCAAGAGTGGAGTCTAGGCAGTGACGTCTGGGACGTCTGATAGCTTCACCGGTGATAACGTAGTGGCTGGGCCAATCCTCCGTGAGGAAACCAGTCTGACACGACACGTCAAAGTGGACGGATGTGCGAAGGTTGGTCCTGTCAGATTTGACAGTTGTACCCCGCTCCCATGGATTTTACGCATCACCCGTAGTCTGCAAGTACGTTGTGAGGTCTTCCCTTGTTCATGTGTTGGACTGAAGAGGGAATCAACGGAATATTGAGCAACAAGTGCTCCAGGGACAGGTGTTGTGCAAGAAGTGAAGTCTAAACAGTGACGTCCGGGGCGTATGATAGCTTCAGAGTGACGATGTAATGGCTGGGCCAATCCACCGGGAAGCAGTGAAAGAAGAAAACTAATTGAGAAAAAGGACGACTGCAGCTGAGAAGTAGGTTGGCAGCCGTAGTTGTGAGGAGAAGTCGACGGCCGGGAGACCGACTCCAACCCTGCAAGACGTTGTGGAGGAGCACGGACCTGCGGAGAACAGAGCACGGAGACGACGCATTTATTATGGGATGTTGATTGGGTTCCTGAAGAACGCATCAGTGTGTGTGTGGGGGCATTCCCTACAACGAGGCAAGAGCCGGAACCAGGAGCTGCAATTCAACTCTCACCGGAGGGTGAGTCCACATCAGTGAGGTGGAAGTAGGTGATTCTAGTTTCCCTCCCAATTCCCCTGTAGTCAGCTATATATTTAGCCAGAGTATCTTTCATGTCATGAGCAAGGCTCACCTATGTCGATGTCACAGTAAGGCACAGTTGTGCAAAGTGAGGCTGTACAGAGCTCTCACGATATTTATATACGTGGTGTGAGCAGGCACCTGGAATTATTGAAGAGTTGACTGTGTCGTTGATGATTTCTTTCATGCGACATTAATATGATAACTTATGCCAGAGAATATATATATATAAGTGTACCAGTTATTGGTGTTAGGCTGTGTGCCCAGTATTTGTCTTATTATTATCGATATTGATGAATTTATCTCTGTATATGTATATGTTGGTTAACCATGGTTGGTTAACTTGCAATTTTTTTTATGGAAGATTGTGATTTCATGAGACTTGCTGATAAAAGATTTGCAAAAGCAGCCTAATTTATGATTCCACATTGTACAAAATTGGCATTTTGTTGAATGTGGAAAGATAAACATTTCCATGTGTGCAGTGATTAATGTGTTATCGCCTTTGAGAGGAGTTACTGAATCTCAGGGCAGTACTGTGGTTAGTTACATTCATTGTAATTATTATGAAGTACAGTGTATTATGCCATTATAGTGAAATATTATGTTAATTGCTGTAGAAATGAGTTATTGAACTTGAGATCAGTGTGGTGATTCATTGCATTCTATTGCCATTATAGAAATATTGTGTAGATTACAAACATAGTGATCCCTGCGAATTTAAAGAATCAGGCGCTTCACGCCAAAGAAACAAGTACTAAGCATTCGCATGGTGAAGTGGACTGCCCAGCTGACATTGACAGGAGGGGGGAGTATTGCCCTCTAGATGAGCCCCAGTTTTATGAAGAGAGAGTGACTTTCTGCATTGTACTTGATGCTTTGTTGTTGATACGGATATAATACTTTGAAGTTTTAAGTAAAATACAAAATACCTTTGCGTTTGTATTATCCCTTCATATATCTTGTTGCTATAGAACAGTTCCAAAGAGTGAGAGTATTAGAGACGTATACCTGCCTGAGACCAGATTTAATGAGTGAGCTCTGCCATTAGTACCGCAATTCCACAATACCACTGACGTGTTACTGGACACGGGAAACACCAGTTGACGACCTTGCAGTTAGTAGTAGAGCCCTTGTCGGGGCGGGCACACGGTTGGGAGAGAGCAAACTGTGTTCCCACTCATCTTTGGCTATAAGGCTGGCTGGGGATCGACTGGGATACTCTCCTGGCGAACAGTGGCGCTGCGAGGATTGAGTAAAGACCCACAGGGCTACGGTGAGTAACAGTTATCGCTAATACTACTGGGTGGTGTCCATGTAGAGAGAGAGACTCCCTGACGTTGGTGACCGTTGACAGGATAAAGTACTTAGGATATCTTGTATACTGTTACTTGCCTCACGTTCCCCGACACTACCTTACCCCTCTATTGTCAACCCATGTATGTTTTTTTTTAAAACAATGCTGTTTGTCGACCTAATTGTATTTGTGCTGCTTTTTCAGCCATGTTCCCCCCCTTTTTTATCTCTATTTTTATTTTGTTCTCAACACATTTTATTCTTTACACTCAATTAGTATTAATCTTTGGTCAGTTAAGTTTTTCATGGCCGAAACGCTTTGCGTAATAGTGGCTTTAGGCATTGTATGTACTAGCCCTATCTATAAATCCATCATTCTTTGTAAAATCTCTTGTATGTATGTACCTTACCTAAATAAACATTTATTTATTTATTTATTTATTTATTTATTTATTTATTTATTTATTATTTATTATATTATAAATGGAAACAGTAACAATGTATTTGTACGTCTAGAATTATAATGTTAGATTCCTGCTCTAAAATAAAGAAATATGAACAGTGCTACAGTGATCATAATAAGGTGATACTTAATACAACTACTCTTTTTATTTAATCTAGGGTTCACCAGTAAAACCAAAGTTATAATTAATAGTATAAAAGTAAATTTTTCTTGTGTGTTGATACACAGAGAGGAGAATAATTGTTCAAAATATTTAAACACAATATCTTGGTAAATAGTTTATAATAAGTTCTCAAAAAGATTGTGACATTATATCCAATTATATTGAAGTTACTAATGACATGTTAACACAAATGTACTGAAGATGTTAGTTGTTCATTTTTGTATATTCACATATTTTTTTCTATTTTATATAATATTATGACTAATAATTGTTACAAAATACAGCCACCTGAACCTTTGGAGCAAATTATTGTTACAGAATTATTTTATTAAGAGATTTCTATATTTAAGGAGTTACTTAATATTGTTTTAATTATTTTTACCGGTTAACCAGAGCTTCTTGAATGAAAATGCTAACCAATTTATTAATTGTGTTCTAAGTTCAAACATTTGTTCCAAATTTCCATTAAATTGGAGGTGTTTGTTTTGGTTTGAATTAAATATTATTTTTTAAATTAATTTTATGAGAAATATATTTGACTAAATCACTGCCTATCCACAGATGTTGGTGGGGTGGTGGCTTGTGTTTTGCCTGATAGTCACTACAGGGTTCAGTTCTTCTTTGATGGCTCACCTTACTGTACAAGGCAGGTCCCAGCCATTAGAGACCTTCCAGGACCTGGTGAACCAGCCTGGCTGGAGGTGGGGAACTCCACTGTGGGTATTGTCCGAAGCAGTTGTTGATTACTTCGTGAAACATCCAAACCCTGCAGTCAATCATGTCTATCGTAAAATGGAGGTGGGTTGTTTAGATATTCCAAACTACACACATATGATTATGTGCCAAACTGAGTATTTAATACAATAAATAATATTAATTATTTTCATATTATTAGTTGTCTGCTGTGATTTGCAAGAAAATTTCAAGGTTGAATAATGAATTTAACTATTGATTATCTCTTGAACACTACAAACCTTCATAGTTAAATCAAACAGAGAACTGTCTTTGCTTAAACACTGTTCCCCTAGATCATACGGGAGGACGAACCACTTAAGAAAGTGCTGGCAGGAGGATTCTCCTTGATCTTCCTCAAGAACTTCGCCACCATCAACGTTGCAACACGATACACGGACGCGAGAGGCAACACTCCCTTCTTCATCAGCAGGGACATCCCTGTGTTTCTGGGAGCAGGTTGGTGCATCAGGTGAGTGTTCAGCGATGATAATGCCTCCTTTTTGTATTCATTGTACTGATGCATAATTTTCATTCAGTCAATAACAATAAGTCTAACAAAATTTTCAAATTACATGGGGAGCATTAGCATGAATGTGCATGTAGTTCCAATAGGTTAACGAAATTAATATCAGAATTAGCATTCCTATTTTTTAGATGGAACTGTATGTACAATACACTTGTCTTTATAAGAATAGGTTAAAAACTTCAGGTAGGTTTTCTGTTGAATAATAATTATTATGCTCTAGATATTACCGTCTATCACGTTATTGACAACTTAAGATCTAGAAATCATTAATTCCTTGTAAAACAATTATCTTAGTATTTGCCAACCAAATGTCAATTAAAGAAAGCTTAAAAAATACAATATAATAATTAAAAATTAATAATCTATTGTGTCAGTGGACAGGCAGCCAGGGTATATATTCATGTTACATTATTATCGATTTCCTCCGCAAGGTGGAACTACTGACCCTCCCCAGGGTGCAACCCACAACAAGCAGACTAATTTCTGGGTACCTACTTACTGCTAGATGAACAGGTTTATTAGGGGACAGTAATGCCCCTGATGCCCGAAACGCTGTGCATACTAGTGAGTTTAGGCACGTTATGTACTAGCTCTTTCTATAAATCCAACATTATGTTTGTAATTCATCCTGTATGTATGTACATATACCTGAATCACTATTTGATTTGATTTGATATGAGTAATCGCGCCCAACCATTTCTGTTCCGCCCTAGAATCGAACCTTGAATTCCCGAGTGTCAGTCAAAAATGAACCCGACTGTACTACCGAAAATTGACAAAATATATAAATAAATTAAAGGTAGAAAACCAGCATTAGCTGTTTATTTAGCTATTCACCTACAATAATATTTACAATAATAAATAAAAGGTATAAATACAATACCTGACTCCAACCAAAATTCTGTAGGAGGCTGAATATTATTATAAAACATTAATTCCAATGTCAGTATCAATGTTTATCTATGTAAATAAAAATGGAAATATATGTTTGTTCAAAATCGCTAATCTACGAAAGTTCCTAACCAATTGCTTTGAAATTTTCACACAACGTTCCATTCACATTCGAGCGGGTTTTTATATACATACTATATAGATGGCATTTTCGTGATGGGAAAAAATATGTTTTTTTTAGAAAAACTGTGTTTTTCATGTGAGAAAAATCTTTGAAACCTTTTTAACGATGTCTTTGAAATTCTGACGCAATGTTGCATTCGAATAGGCGCGTGTTTTTATATACCTACTATATGCATGCCTTACTTGTGACAGGAATTTTTTTTTTTAATATGGCTGTCTGTTGGACGTAAGAGCAACATACGCTTTAATCTCCAAAATTTCTTCACTGATTGCTTTGAAATTTTGACACAACGTTCCATTCGAATACACGTGTGTTTTATATACTTACGCTACGCTTACATTAGACGCTACACCTATGATAGGTAAAAAATATGTTTTTTTTAAATAGTGCCATCTGTTGGTTATCTGGGCATTGACTCATCTATTGAATTATTTAATAATGATACTTAGCATAAATCGAAGAAGCACCCACTTTTGAGAAAAGAGGGAACACAAATAAAGGTGATTATAAAATTGACACTATAGAACCAGTGCCTATGTATGGTAATTGATTTAACAATCACTTAATAGACAATGTATTATTAATTGATTAAAGTTAAAGCCTCAAATATCAACATTGGGGGTTATTTCTAGAAGTTCATATATATCTAGGAACCAGTGTGGTGTCACTAGTTCATTAAAGGGTTAGTAACATGACAAAATTGAACTAGAAGTAGATTCAAGATATGACATATTAGATAATCAATATATTGAAAGTTTATTAAATATTATGAAATAATAAATGTAGATTCATTAAACACCGAGTAATAAATTCTTGCATTAGATTACTCCTTTCAACTATCCTATATGTGAATTTATATATAGAAACTACTAATAATCTTATTCAAATTTCTATGAAAACATCTGTCTTAGCTGTAAGACGACTTCATTAAGTCCGTTTCGTTACTCGTCCACGTGATCACCAGATCCCAATAAAGAAGAAACCAGTAGTGAACCTCGTAGGTGAAGAGAGATAACTTGTTACATCCTCGCCTATACGCTGCAATCATGGAAATTTGAGTAACATTTGAATAGGCTATGAATTATTTCAATATTCATTGGAATTGAAATAAAACGGGAAAATCAACTAACATTGTAGTATAAGTCTTCTTCCAATATAACGACTGACTACCCACAAATACACGATCTTGAATGATGCATCAAACCAGAAAAGTATACTTAATGTGAGCGTGCAAGAACACTAAGGTCTGCCGATATCGCGTCTGTTAGTCCCTGGCGTCTACTACTGTGTACGCGTAATTGCGGGTTGTGACTATAATTGTAGATGCGTTATTAAACATTTGAGCACTGTAGACCACGTGATGGTATTGAATAGCGGTCGCCTGTGGAACTACCACGCGACTATTGTTGTGCGACTTGTCAGCCACACCACCACTCACTTCTCGTCTCTGATAATATGGCGGCTCCCCACTAGCGTCTCCCTCAACCCCTCTCGCATTCGCAATAGAATTTAGTATGGACGGAGAATTCTTCTCCGTGTAATTACTTACGTAATGCGTTAAAGAGAATAAGGTTGCAATTGTTTATATAAGGTTGCAATTGTTAAATATTGTTTATATTCTCGTTTGATGGTGTCGATTAAGCACAGTGTCCTTATTAACGAGAAATGGGGAGAATTTCCATGGAGTTCGTATATAACAGATAAAACTGTTATTTAGTGATATTTTTAATTAATAATTCGGTTATTGGATCATTAGTGGGTATATTATCAGTAATTAGTTATTATACAGAATATTGATAAAAGTAGAGAACCTTATTCTATTCTCTAACAGATTGGTAATAATTATGTCCTGCTGGACATTATTTGATGCAATATGCTTCTCGATGTCATGAGAATATTAGTAAATGACATGTGGATAGAGCAATATTAATTTATGTTAGCACTACAGTTAGTAAGGTTATTTGATACTGTAATTAATATACAATAGAATTGTATTGTGATACAAGCGGGATGTATCAGTGTTGGATACCTCCAAGCACACGCCCTAAGTGGGCGTGTGCTTGGTGGATCAGAATTGTTGTCCTCGGAAAATGTAGGTGAAGTTGGTTCTGTTGAACACTTTCGTTCTGCTAATTCGAGAGGTACCAACTTCTCTAATGTTTTTAGGGTAGTAGTGCCTCGGTACAAAACTCGTACTGCTCTCAGGATGTCTTCGTGATCTGGGTGAATAGAGACAATCTTGCCTATAGGCCGTTCTGACCTGGGTCCATCACTGTCAATCAACACTAGGTCTTCTGGTTTGAGTTGAACCTTATTATAGGGGCTCGAAGCTCCATAGTGGTATTCTCGTAGAGCTGTGAGGTACTCTCGAGTCCACACCTCATTCCACCTTTCAATTACCCTCGAGAGATGTTGATAACTTTCCACTAAATCACTCTTAGCTACATGGGAAGGGTCGAACGGATCCTCTTCTGTCAAAGGTATCAGAGGGCTCAGCAGGCCTCCATGTATTAAATGTGAGGGACTCAGGGGTTCTCTCTGGGAGAAGTCGTCTGATAGGTAAGATAAGGGGTGGTTGTTGACTCGCGCCTCAATTTCTATGACGAGAGTTTGCAATTCAGGGAAACTGATTTTCTGTCGATGCAAGGTCTTCCTTAACCCCTTAACTGCGTTGCCTCTAAATATGACACCCCCGCAGTGCACAGGAAATAAATTCTCTGGATTTTTTTTTTCCTTTTAAAGTGTCAAAAACCCTTCCCTCAGTATGGGTATGTAAAAAAAAAATCGAAATTGTACTTACTTTGGCTGCTATGTGGTCCGAAAGTTGGGGCGTGACGTCATCATTCCCAGTGCTCCCATGACGTACGCTCCCAGGCCAGTAGGGCTCTCGGGGTTGGGCGCACGAGTTGCCGCGAATATATTTTCGTTCATTTTTTGCGCACAGTTCCCAATACAATTTAATTGTTTTTACCTGCCAATCCAATGTATAATGAACACGTACACTATATTATGCCAGTATATTATCCGTACTGTCCGTAGACACTGTGTTACGTGCATCACAAACAAGTTCACTTATACTGCACAAATTCCAATGTATCATGCCTAATAAATTTAGTTTTGCACTTTATATACACACTGTACAGTATCACACATTATATACACACACACCATAAACACACTCAGTACTCCGCGAGTGTATGATATGCTGCGAAAAAGCCAACGGCGCAAAGTGGCACCTTGCACTCCACGCACCTGGTGCTGATGCATCTTCGTTTTTGTTCTCTGCGGGTAGTGTTCCTGCATTCTATACATGCACGTTTACTTTTCTCCCGTGATGCTATGCCTGGCATATACTCGAGCATATGTACTCCGAGGTTCTCATTACCCCTCAATCTGTCGCACCCCGCGCGGTACAACAGAGCCCTCCTTGCCATACTTTACTAGCAGCTGTTACACAACACCAGCACTGAATGTACTGGGGCGAGATACAGATGGGCGAGCACTTGAGAACTGCGAGTCTTACAGATACCTTGGTGTCCCCTTTAACGACCCTGGGTACCTTTCTTCTCTCAAGAGGAGACTTTGGGAGAGATTAAAGCCCTTGCGGGTCCTTGTTGGTGTCAATCATGGACTTAACGTGAGACTTGCTAGAATGTTTTATGTATCATTTATACGCTCTGTGATTGACTACAATGCTCTACATCTCACACTGTATACTGACAAAGAGCTGAAATCTCTTGAAACCTTGCAAAATGAAGCTATGCGTCTCATCCTTGGGGCTCCAAAGTCCACGAGAATAGTTAGCATGAGAGCAGAGTTAAAATTACCTACCATAAGTGAGAGAATTTTGTCTATTAGCACAGTTTTC